AAAACATGCCTTTAACATACCATAAACTGATGTTTTGGAGAACCTCTCGTGCTTGGTTTGCTTTGGGTTCCTCACTTTGGCCTGCTGTTAACTCACTGTTCATATGACCATGACATTATTGGTCTTCATTCTCAAAGACAACCTTTAATTTAATTTTAAGTTAACTCAGCCCCAATTTTCAGAAATGCAGCAGGCCTTTGGACATTCTGAAAATTAAACATTGGGTTTGCCACAATGGATGCTTTTGGAAACTCTGAGAAACATTTCTCATCCTGTGACTCTTCACCTGCTGATAACAGTACTTCCCTGTCTTTCTAGGGAAGACTTGAGGCTTGCAAAGCATGACTCACAGTTAACAATGAGGTATTTGGATGTAAAGTTTGCACTGGAATTATTATTATTGGAAGACCATTTGGCCATTCTAAAGGTAACGGGCTATTACCTTTCAAAGGAAAGTCTGTCAAGTCTGTCACTGCTGAAGTATCTGCTGCTGACCTCCCATCACAGCAACACATCAGCCCACACACACTACCTCCTTAAAATCTTAAACTTCAGAGAAAGGATCTGGGCATATTTCTATTTTAAATTACACACATCCAGTTGTTGCTGCAGAGCCATTAAACCTGTGTGGCTCTCTGCATCCTCACGCACAGCAGCTTCAGCTGAGCTATTCATAGGGCTGCAGCCACCCGGGCTGCAGTGAGCTCACAGCCTGCCGGCAGCAGCTGCAGCCTGCCTGCGACAGCGCAAAGCCAGTGAGGGAAAACGCACGTGGGAGGAGGGAGGTGCAGGGACAGAATGGGGATGGCTCACTTTTAATTTTTAGATTTGCCAACATCACGTCGGAGTTTTCAGCATTTGTAACTCAGCAATGAAGGCTCACAGGGTTTGCTTTGTGGAAGCGTGCTTGCGTGCTCCGGGTTTGCATTTGGCACTCTGGCTTTGTGGAATGCGCAGATCAGAAGGAATAATGCAGCCTAAGGAAGGAAATTCCTATTCCACAACAGACTACCCCAACAGTTAGCAGCTGCCTCTCCTCTCAGGATGCTGAAGCAGTACCTGTGAAACTGCGGCTACCTTCCAGAGCCAAGGCAAACAGTTGGCCAGGATTACACAGATGACTGCTATTTCTTGTCTTATTTATAGCAGCCATTGCAAATTGTGTGTCTATCCACTTTAAAAGCCCTGCCTCCATCCCTCTCTTTCCCACAGGCTCATTCACAGTTAGAATTATTTGTTTTTACATCTGGCCTTCAGGGAAGCACTGATTTTGCTAGTATTTGAGTTTGCTTTACGCACTCCAGCTTGACCAATTCTAACATAAAATTGCTTTTGACTTCAGTTTTAACTCAGTTACAACACAAAAAAATATATATCACTGTGTCTGAATTAAGGTGGCTGCAGCTGCAACAAGAGCAGCCATCAGAGTACGCAAGTTGAAAGAAGGCAGGCAGAAGCTGTTCTCATACTGTGCTTTGCATTTTTGCAGCATCTGTTTTGGTCACAGCGGAGAAGCCACTGAGAATTTCACTCTGGCCTGCTCCTGCAACCTTCCTGCCCTCCCTCTTGTTCCTGACAGCCCTTCACAGCAAAGCACACGAGAAGAGCAACGTGTTCATGCTCAGGACATGCTGGATGAGACAGACCACACCATGAATGGAAACCCCACATCAAAGGAGAAGGAAAGGAGAATTAACCCTGGCTGCCATGTTAAGTAGCAGCCTTCAGTGTGGAGCACAACCTCCAAGAGGTAAATGCTGCATATCCTCCCACTTCTTCTCATCATCTGAGATGCAGCAAAGGGGCACACAGCCCACCTTTCTGTTAATACTCCCAGAAAGTTTTCTGAAAGTTTCAATATTGTGAGAGTTAGCAGTATTATGAAAGACCAAAACGATCATCACTTTTCTTAGTTCCAAAGCACTCTGCCAGGGTGAAGTCAGCAGGCTCCTGCTGGAGCCCCAGTTTCCTTCCCAGGCTTGTTTTGCCACATACCCCTGCTCCATAAAGAACATTACTGACACGCAGTTGCTCTCACAGCAAGAGAAACAACCGTAAAGCCAAAGGCACCCAAGCATCACCATCAGGTGCACTTCATGTTCATAAGCTTTGTCATGTTTCTGCTTCCAGCTCTGGGTTATGCAAGTAGGCTCCACCATTCATCTGAGGGACAACAAGGAGGAGTAAGGGGACAAAGAAACTCAAAGTGGAGGGCTGTGCAGAGCAGTGAGGCCCAAAGGAGCTGCAGCTCCACCTCTGAGACAAATTGCCTGTGGAATGCACTCCCCAGGGTGGCATGGCCACACCGGGACCGGGAGTCAGCCTCTGCAGCTGCGAAACCTAGTGGGCTCCAGGAACCTCCCCTCCCAGCTGCTGTACTGGCTGTTTTCTGCTGAACTGGGGTATTTTCAGATGAAGTCTGCCTGGACATGCACATGGTGGGGAAAGTTTGTCTGTATATAGACTGTAACTTGTGAACTGTGTCATTTTTCCCTGCTATATATAACCTGGAAAAAAATAGGACCTTAATAGATTTATTTCAACCTACTTTAAACTCAAAAAGATGCAAGGCATTATGTGATTGGTGCAGTTACTGTGCGCAATTCTCCCTACATTGTGAAGCAGCTCACTAGAAAAGCAAACTAGATGTCATGAACTCAGCTCACAGCCCCTCACCAAACAGAAGTCTGTCACACATTGCTAAATACATAACCATACAAGCTAACAACACCCACAGATTGGTAAGTTTCAGGCTGATGGGCCTGCTGCACACTGGCAGCTTTTGGCTCCTTGCTCTGCCATGGGCTTCCTGCAGGAATATGGAGCAGGTCACAGCCCAAACTTCTGCACTCTCACTCCTCTTCCCACAGAAAATGAGATCTGGACTCTGCCCAGGGCTGGGGCTGTATGCACTCAGAAGGCTGCAAGTAGCTCAGACGCCACTATAATCACATGCTGCCAAGCTTTGATAAAATGATACTATCAGGCTACTGTTTTGCAGTAAAACTATTTGGGGGTGACAGGATTAGAAATAACAACACTGATGTTTGCTGGCACAGAAATCCCAACTTCAAGCTGCAATGAATCCGAGCTGAACAGAAGTCTGTACAACCAGCAGGCATGTACCAGACGCAGCATGCTGCTTCCTCAACACAGAGAAGAAACTACCAACTCCTGTCTTTTCTGCTCTTAAACACATACAATTGTTAAACTTCACAGAAAGCTTTCTTTTACCCCATGGCTCTCTCAGAATGGCTCATCAGCAAACTCCGATGAAGGAATAAAAAGAACAAAATTGTCAGACTGGAGGCTCTACATGGGTTCCTGTAAGAACCTCTACAGTTGTTCTGGGTGCTGGAATGGGGCTTCCATGGGCAGCCCCAGATGTCCACTGCTCCCCTCCAATAACCTGAACTAGGGTGAGGAAAACGGTAAAGATTTTATGATTGCTGCAGGTCTGAGTTTTGCCAAGAGCGTATCGCTTTGTGACAGCAGTCTCCCTGAAACAATCTACAAGTCTAGACTTACAGTACCTTTGCTTGCTGTTTGCTGCAAATTGGCTCGCTTACTACTAGTGTTAGAGGAAGCCAAAGGTTTCTCCGTGCAGCTACCCAGATGGACACCACAAAGCCACTTGAGGTAAGACTGCACAGAGCTTACAACACACGCTCTCGTAATTAGCAACAAGCCAGCATGGGCTGTTTGAGACAGCATCCACGAATCAGCTCTGCATACATACACGAGTGCAAGGTGCTTTTTCTTTCTTTTTTTTTTTTGTTTTTCCAGTGCTCATTATAGAAACTGGGTGCATGTTAGCAGATCTTTATTTGCCTCAGCACACTTGAACAGTATTTTAAAGCCAGCTGGGTTGTGAAGCATTTACTACTAAAAAGCAAAGCTATGGTGGAGATAGCAAGTGAACTCATTTTGCATCACTGGGACCAGTTTGTGTTTGTATCAGTGAGTTCTCAATGATGAAGTCTGTCTGTTGGTAGAAAACTCACCCTCCAGCTACTGGCTTTCTGGAAGCAAAGCTGTTCCCTGGAATTCTCCCTGAATGGATTGTGTTGCTGCTTTCAGGCCTTAAACACTCAAGAATGGCTGAGTACTGCTTCCCTTACAGCTACATGCACACTTAGAGAGGCACGCTAATTTGAACAATTGTTCAGATAAGAGCAGGAATTACTGAGTTACAAAGTATGGCTTCACTGTGTGCCAGTGCAGAGAGATTATCTTCCTCGTTGTTCCTTACCACAGGGAAGCACGTCTGAGGTCATGTGAGACCCAAACACAAGCTCATGCTGCAAGAAGTTTTAGTATAGGGAATATACAACTTTGCAAAAGACCACACGGCATTTCTGTAGAGGCTCCACACTTTTTTAGCACCTCCTGCCCCCAAAGCCAGGCCCTTTACATGCTGTTTTGGTTCAGATATGCCACCCCCAAAGTATTTTAACTCATAAAACTGTGCTCAGCCGGCAGCTGCTGGCTGCAAGTTGTGATAACTGAGCAGAGATGTCGATAATGGAGCCCTGTGCTGTTCGCTACAGTAGAGATCTCTCTGAACATCCAGCATTAAAACTGCCTCAGTCACATGCTGACATAGCGTCTTCCACTGTGGGCTGTAATAACCTTCTCAAGAGAATCACTTGGACTGTCTAGTATAGTTTAAAAAAAAAAAAGAAGAAGAAGAAGAAGAAGAAGAAAGGAAAGAAAAAAAGGCAGCAAAGCCAAAAAGCCAAAGCTGAACAACAACTTCATGAGCCCCAAGTGCAGACACGCGTCCTCCAGCAGCCCACCACCGACCGTGCCGCGCCTCCCCGCTGCCGAGCCGGCTCCCGGCCGCCCAGCCAGTCCCGCTCGGTCTGTCCCCGCTGCGGCAGCGGGCGACGCGAGGAGCCCCGCTGAGTAATGCCGCCGGGGCGCGCAGCCGCCAGAGCAACTTCGGCGCCGGACAGCGCCGGCTGCCAGGCGGCCGGGGTCTGGGGTCGCTCACTCACCTGCCCGGCGGTGTCGTAGAGCCCCAGCAGGTACTGCTTGCCCTCCACGGTGACGCTGACTGCGAGGAGGGAGAGACAAACCGAGTGAGGCCGCGGCGGGGAGAGCCCCGGCGGGGCAAGGTCGGGCGGGGGGGAGCGGAGCCGAGCCGAACCGAGCGGCTCCGCGCCGCCGCCCCCCGTCCCGCTCACCTGCGTAGTGGTCGAAGACGGTGGGCACGTACTCCTCGGGGAAGGCGTCGTTGGCGTAGCTCATCAGCAGGCACGTCTTGCCCACGGCGCCGTCCCCCACCACCACGCACTTCAG